AAAAATGTCAGCATCATGTAAAACAAACAAAAAGGCAAGGGGCTGTACTAGATTAAAGGAGACCAAAGTTAGATGGTAACTAAATGCCAAATGTGATTCTTAATTGGATTCTAATTCAGGCCTGTAGGCAGGAAAGGGTCAACTGAGAGACGTTTGGGGACTACTATCTATTAGATGATAGTATTCTGTCATTGTCAGTTTGGGAGTGTGGCGATGCTGTGTTTATGCAAGAAAACATCCTTATTCTAAGGGGATATAAATTGAAGTATAAAGGGGACAAGTGTTGTCAAAATACTTGTATATCTGCAACTTACTTTCAAATAATTAGGCAAAGTAAATATATGTGAAAGAAATAAAGTAAATCTTGAAAGATGTCAATAACTGGTAGATTCAGGTTGATATTGTATGGGTATTCACTGTGCCTCTCTGTAGGTTGGAAATTTTTGAAAATAAAAAGTTTAGTGAAACAAATTTTGAGTAAAAATTAAAAGTAAACTTAAAATGACTAAAGATAAAATTTTAAAATTTGAAAGTGAAAAGGCAGGAAGACTCAGTTGTTTTGGGATGGTGGCAATGACAGACTGAAGTGCTCAGATGGAGAAAACCACTTTTCTTATTTTTATTATTATCCTACAGCTGAATATTACATGGAGCTAATTTCTCTGTGAGATTATTCTGCTACATTAATACATACAGAAAAAAGAAAAAACTCTTAAAGTTTTGCACAAAACCACAGATAAATAAAGGATATGAGAATGTGTGTGTGTGGTGGAAGCAAGGCGTTCATGTGCATTGGGGCGGCAGGTAGAATGAATATGGAATTCTTCCACCAACTAAGTCACAGGTTGGCCAACTACTGCCCATAGGCCATCCAGCTCGCTGTTTTTATAAAGTTTATTAGAATACAGTCATGTTCATTCATTTATACCTTGTCTGTGGTTGCTTTCATGCTACAAAGGCAGCTTTAAATAGCCATCACAGAGACCACATGACCTGCAAAACCAAAAATATGTACTATCTGGTCCCTGGTCTAAGTCATACCTGAGCGTATTTGAAGTTTTAACAGATTGAATATATTTTTGCCTCTCAATCAAAAAAAAAAAAAATAGAGGTCAAGTGTGGTGGCTCACACCTGTAATCCCAGCACTTTGGGGGACTGAAGTGGGAGTATGGCTTGACCCCAGGAGTTTGAGACCAGCCTGAGCAACATAGAGAGACTCTGACTCTATCAAAAATAAAATCAGCCAGGGGTGGTAGCCTGCACCTGTGGTCCCAGCTACTTGGAGGCTGATGCAGGAGGATCACTTGAGCCCAGGAGGTCGAGGCTGCAGTGAGCTATGATCATGTCACTGCACTCCAGTCTGGGCGGCAGAGTGAGAGCCTGTCTCAAAAACAAGAAAAAGAAAGAAAGAACTAACCAGTACAGTATGATATGCACACTGTTCAAGGTTTGGCTTTTCCAGACTTCCTCAAAGGAAGGCTATATAAGTTGGCTTTCTAGAAAGAGGAAAGGCATAAATGAAATAAGAACATAAATAACAGAAATACTGGAGTATTCATTTAAAATAGTACAGTAGGACAGATGGGCAAAGCATTTGATAAGATTTATTTTACATTGTTCAGTGCTTATAAAAACTATGAGCTTACTTTTCCAGGAATCATAAAACAAATTTGCTGACTCATTCGCTAATTCCACTGGCGCCTTGGGAGAAATGTGTCAAATATTTTGGAGTTTTTAAAATTCAGGTTCAGAAAGGTTAAGTAGCTTGCCAAGCAACACAGCACAGCTCAGCAAATTACTGGAAAGCAAAAAAAAAAAAAAAAAGAAGAAGCTGCATACTTGAATCGTGGTTTAACTTACCCATACAAAAGTCAAGAAATTCCTCTAGGACCTTTACACGAGCTAGAACTTTCTGTATTTTAGAAAGGAGAAAGCACTGGCTATCGCCTGGAAAACGTGTGTTACTAACTAGTTTTAGAGGATTAGCTCTGCCCGCTTTAAGAAGGTAACCAAGACCAGTTGGTAACTATGGTTAAAAGGTTTGTAGATTCCAAATGAAGGAAATCAAGATTGTTCTGATCCTCTAAGGCAGCTGTCCCCAACGTTTCTGGCACCAGGGACCAGTTTTGTGGAAGACAATTTTTCCAAGGACCAAGTTGGGGGATGAAGTGGTGGGGGGCCCTGGGGGGCTGGTTTTGGGATAAAACTTACACCTTAGATCATCAAGCATTAGACTCTCATAAGGAGTGCACAACCTAAATTCCTTGCATGCACAGTTCACAATAGGGTTCACGCTCCTATGAGAATCTAATGCTCCAGGTGATCTGATAGGAAGTGGAGCTCGGGTGGTAATGCTCGCTTGGCTGCAGTTCACCTCCTGCTGTGCAGCCAGGTTGCTAGCAAACCAAACACCAGTACCCATCTGCGGCCCAGGGGTTGGGTACCCTTGCTCTAACGCAGTGCATCATTGTTTTGATGAAAAGCAGACAACAGATTATCTCATCACTCAGCAGTTTCTTCCTTAAAGAAACAAGGACTAAAGTGAGTAGAAGGCTCAAGTCTGTTTCACTACTTTTCTTAGGTGTGTGGAAATGGAAGAATTGGCGACACCTCTCACCTTACTGCCCTCTTCCACACAGCTCTCGTCCCTGGCAGGCATGGGAAAAAGGAAAGGCCAAGCACTTTGCTTTTATTCTATCTTTTTTAAAAAGTCTAGCCTCACCCTCATCCTGTAAGGAACTCTGCAACATGAATTGTACCGCAGAGCTTGCTCTGCCCAGCTGAGCAAGATTGGTGCTGTTGCACCTCACATCAATCAGTCACTGGCTATGGGCTGTATCATATTCTGGGTGATCCAAGCAAGTTGATTTATATAAGCTTATGTGGCTCCCATCAGCCCATGGCAATCCTCTAAGAAGAGGCAAATATAAGCTATTATCAGCAGCTGAGATAAAGTTACACTATCCTGATTAAGGAGATCTGAACAGGGCACCAAGAGCATCTATATCAGTAGCAAAATAGCCACTAAACATATTAATGTGTGCTTATGCTCATTGGCTACAAAAATGAAAATTAAAACTCAATAAGCATTTGAGGAGCTGGGCACCGTGGCTCATGCCTATAATCCCAGGAGTTTGGGAGGCCAAGGCAGGAGGATTGCTTGAGCCGAGGAGTTCCAAACTAGTCTGGGCAACATAATGAGACCCTGTCTCCACAACAAATTTTAAAAAGTATCTAGGTGTGATGGGTCACACTTGTAGTCCCAGCTACTCTTGAAGCTGAAGCAGGAGGATTGCTTCAGCCCAGGAGTTCGAGGCTACAGTGAGCTATCATTGAGCCACTGACCTCCAGCCTGGGCGCCGTAGCCAGACCTCGTCTAAAACAAACAAAGGAACAAAAAAACAGTGAGATGCCATATGCTCTATGTGCATTGAAAAGAATGTATATTCTGCTGTTATTAGGTGTAGAATTCTATAAATGCCAATTAAGCTAAGTTGATCGTTGTTCATGTCTATATCTTTTCTCCCTCACTGTCTGTCTGTTCAATCAATTACTGAAGAAAGAGTATTAAAATGCTCAATTTTGATTGTGTTCTTTTCTGTTTGTCTTTCTATTTCTGGCATTTTTGCTTCATATACTTTGAAATTTTTTATTAGATGCATACATATTAAGGACTGATGCATTTTTTAATGGATTAACCCTTTTGTCATTATGGCATGTTTTTCTTTATCTCTAGCTCTACTTCTTGTTTTGAAGTTTTCTTTGTGAGATATTGATTGATTAATTAATCATATTTCCAGATTGAAGAAATGATTTATTTTAAAGAAGGAATGAAAAGGAAGAAAGGAAGGAAATGGAAGGAAGGAAGGAAAAGCAAGGAAGGAAGGAAGGAAGGAAGGAAGGAAAGAAGGAAGGGAGGGAGAGAGGGAGGAAGGGAGAAAGGGAGGAAAGGGAAGGGAAAGGAAAGGGAAGGGAAGGATGGGAAAGAAGGGAAGGAAGGAAGGAAGGAAAAGGAAAAGAAAGGAAAGAAGGAAGGAAAAAGAAAAGAAAGGAAAGAAGGAAGGAAAAGGAAAGGAAGGAAGGGAGGGAGGGAGGATGGAAGGAAGGAAGGAGGGAAGGAAGGAAGGAAGGAAGGAAGGAAGGAAGGAAGGAAGGAAGGAAGGAAGGAAGGAAGGAAGGAAGGAAAGAAGGAAGGAAGATTGATTGATTCCTTGGTTCCTTCTACCATATGTGTTGGCTACCTAGTGAGTAATACTTAGGCCTATGCTGACCCTGTGCAAATCACCAGTCTCAATATTATTCTTGAGGAAACTCACAGAGGCATTAAATAATAACCAATAAGTCCACTTTCTAGAGACCATGGTACATGTGCTCACTTAGAATCTGAGTCTATTCTAAATTCCTTTTAAGTATACAGCATTCCAGACTTTATTTATTCTTTGCGACTTAGACTCGATCATGATACATCTTCATCTGAATACACAGTCTCAAAATTCAGTATTCAAAATAAGACAGTAGTAGGATTAGCATTTCTTTCTTTTGGAAAACTGGAGCTTTGAAGGAAAAGAGGTCAGGACGGGCAGGTGGGGAGGTTGTATCTTAGCCATGTTCCACGCATTATAAGCAAATGTATGTTTTGATGAACTATTTTCACATCTTTTTGTAAAAAGCTTGATAATATCCAAATTGGTTAGACTGGCCAGGCACACATCCTGGTTTCCTGATATGTGTACTTTAAAAAAAAAGTACTTTTAAGTTGTTCTAAAACTATATAAATAATAAAATGATTTTGAAAAGCAAATGTATGTGGTATAATAATCTGTGGTGTGTTTTTTTTTTAAGTAATATTGTTGCTTTGACCGCATTTTAATGCCGTTTTTGCTCTGACAACTTTATTTACAACAGATTCAACTTTGCACACGGATATTTTTCAAAATCAAACCCTGAATCAGAACCTGGGTTTATCCAGGTTCCTGCAAAACTACACTAGACACATTCCTCATTAGGCATCTGTTTATTCCAAAACACATGCATACACAGGGGATAGAATTAGATAACACTTTTTTGGCTTACTAAATGGGTTAGACTTAGTAAATATGGTACTCGCTTTTCAACTGATTCTGCCATCTGTCAGCAAACTTATTGCTTTTAGCAGGGGTTTTTCTTGTGATAATTTACAAGTTGTTTTTCTTCCTTTGTTCTTTTCATGAAGATACATATCCTTAAAATTTAAGGGGGAAATAACACATAAAATAAATTCATCCACAAAACAGAAACAGCAAAGACCAAATGGCTGCTGGAGAGTTAAATGGCTCATGAAATTTAACCACAGAAGATTTTTTTTTTCTTCTTATGGGGATGGAAGGAGAGTGAGTCTCAACATTCTGCAGGTGACTTCTCAGTCCCAGCTCCAGCTGGGAGGCATCTGTACAAGAGAAAACAGCACACAGTGGAAGGAATTCATTTCTTAGCAAAAGATGCAAACAGGGAATCTAGTGGCGGGGGAGTCTACAATAAAACCACCTAGTTTTTGGTTCTTTCCTTCTGCCTTGATCATAATAGTTTACTTTTGCATAGTGCTTGCTCTATAACTTAAACTAGTAGTGTGTATTGTATTTTGTGTCTGCCACTTCCTAACTGAATGCCCGTGGGCAAGTAACTTAGCCTCTCTAAGCCTCAGTGTTCCTGAGAAACAAGTAGAATAACGTAATGTGTTTGATGTGGTGCCTGGCATTTATGATGTGTTTAAAAATCACCAGTAGCTAAAACTGACACATAGTTTTCTAAAAAGAATAAGCTCCTGGATAGAACTATGTCTCATTCACTTTTAAACCTTTCATGCTTTCCCCAGAGCCCAGAACATAACAAGCAGTAACTATATGTCAAATGAATGGATAGATGGATCAATGGGAGGAGGAATATATAAGTAATCACATAACTTTCATTCTCAAAGCAAATCTATCAATCAAATATTATTTCCCATGTCTTATAGATGAGAAAATTGAGGACAAAAAGTTTCTGTGACTCGCCCAATCTCTCATTACTAGTAAGTGAATTGAGACTCAAACCCAAGTCAAGTCAGTCATTATTATTGTTACTAAAGAGAAGCTCCTGCACTGTTACCAGAGTTCACATCTAATCAATTTTTCCGGTTTGCATACATAGTTTTAACCAGATATTTTCCCCGTTTAGTGACTACAAATTTAAAATGTAGTTAGAGAAGCTGAAATCTCCTTCCTGTTCTATTCTTTTAAGGAATCCACAAGTATAATTGTTACTATTTATTGACTGCTACGGAATTGTACATATTTTATTTCTGTTCCCTACAACAATTTTAAAGGTTAGTAGGTATTATTACTCACATTTCATGGGTGAGCAAACAGAAATTCAAAGAGGTTAAGTAACTTACTCAAAGTCTGCCTAAGAAATGCTAGAGCTGAGCTTGATCTGAATTTTAAGGATTCTTTCCTCTATGCCAGTGCTTTCAAATTTTAATGTGAATACATCTGTTAAAAAATGCAGATTCCAATTGTGTGGATCTGATGTGGAACCAAAGATTCTGCATTTCTAACAAGCATCTAGGTGATGTCCATGCTGCTGGCCCATGGACCATGATTTGAATAGCAAAGCTCTTTCCCACACTACCTTCCCAAATTCAGAGATCTAGACATTCACCTTTGTTTCTTAGTCATCTCATGGCCAGAGTCCTGCATACAAAAATAATGTTTTGCTTTCTTCTAGTTTGTGTGGATGACTTGCCACGATGGTCCTTCATATATTAATTAATAACATTTCTTTTTTCTCTATGATCTAACATAATGTAAGAGAAATTTTGGAGTAGCTACAATTGAAAACCTCTTTGTCCACTATTTTATTCACTTCCTTAAATTAGAAGATTGAATAAAGAATCAGAACTGTGTTCATTACTGAGTGAAAGTAGGAAAGAAAATGAGAGAAGTGACAGTAAATATAAGCAGAAGGAGATGAAAAAATACTAAGCAGTGAAATAGAAAGCCTACAGCCTAAGGAAAAAAAAAATAGAGGCACATCTTAGAAAGTCACTCCAGGGAAATTTCTAAGAAAATTATATGCAGGAGCAAAGAAGCATGACAAAGGAAAAAGAGGAATGAGAAAGCTATAAAGGGTATTTGACATCACGGTCTTAACTAAACTGTTATGTGCAAGTGAAAATCAAGGGAGGCTAAATATTTAAGCATAATGACTGCCTAAAAGTGATTAGAGGGAATGAAAGAAGAAGTAGCCATAGATTTTATTGAAGCCGTTGGAGTAAATAAGACAGGAGATTTCAGAGCAATAACAAGTGGAGGCGGAGATATCATGGAATGAAATCAGAGGTTATGAAGAAAGAAGACTCATGAATCAGATTTCAGCATAGACCACAAACTAATGATCATCAAACAAACAGCCAGAAAACTAATAATAAATCCAAATGGTTGTTAGCAAAGTGCAGAGTGGGGTGGAGGGTGAATGAAGAGAAAAGGGACCAAAGACAGAAGCAAATAATAATAATAATAATAAGAGAGAATCATGGCTAATTCAAATATAGACAATGAGGAGCCTTATGTCTTTTTATTTTAGCAACACATATGTGAGACCGAGTGGCCAAAAAGGCCTTAAATACTTAGTGTTAGCTTGACAGAGACACAAACATTGTCATGGGTGAGATTAAAATTATCCGGAAAGTAAAATAACCATGTGAGAGCAAGGTGCCTAAGGTACAGAGGAAATCAAGCCTCTCAATGTCTTCCTCACATTGTCCCATCTCCCCACTCCCCCTGCTGATTCCTTTTCCTTAGAGCTTTCCTTGAGCATCTCTGAAGAAAAGCAATGTTTTGATTGCAGGTGAACAGTGCTTATGGGTTGTTTGTTCACTGATATCAGAAGCCTTGGAAAGAGATATAGTCTAGTAGATACAGAGAGGAGGAGCAGAGATTAACATACACAGGAACAAATTCAAATTTCACTAACCAAATTTCATTTCATTAGTTATAAGAATGTATGTTGGCTGGGCTTGGTGGCTCACACCTGGAATTCCAGCCTGAGCAACGTAGTGAGACCCCATCCCTACAAAAAATTTAAAAATTGCTGAGCATGATGGTATGTGTCGGTAGTCCCAGCTACTCAGGAAGCTGGAGCGGGAAGATCTCTTGAGCTCAAAAATTAAGGGTTGCAGAGAGCTGTGACTGCACCACTGTACTCCAGCCTGGGTAACAGGACGAGACCGTGTCTCTAAAATGAATAAACAAAGAATGTATGTAACATTAGGGTTATATGTTTTATGCTTAATCCGAGTTGCTCAATAAGTTTTTCAGATACAGTTTAATATGTAGAAATAATTAACTAATATTTTATTGAGCACTTGCTATGTACTCAACATCGATTAAATCTTTCACAGGATATCTCGTTTAATCATCACGTTAACTCTGGAAGGTAGATACCATTATTATCTCCCTATTACAGATGACAAACAAGAAGTTTAAACATGAGAAAATAAACTAGGTTGAGTACAGTGTTTTGTCTCTTAAAGGAGGGTGTGCAATGCCTTTATTCTTATAAATAAAATAAACTAATGGGCAGGAAGAGCTTGAGAAAACAGGGAAAATAATGACCAATGACTGCCCCTGGGCAGAGTTATCTTTGGAACTCCATCCAGTCCTCCTTCCTCTCTCAGTGGCATTTGCCCCAGCCCCTTTAAATACACAGTACCTGAACCTCTCCCCACACCCCATATATAAACAGGGACAGATTTGGTATCATCACAAATAGTCAGATAAATTAATTAATTGTTCAGTTTAGCAGGGTAAAATTTTTTAACCGTGCTAAATTCTCAGTGTAGCAAGGTAAAAATTCAGATGTCCTGATTCACAGACAAGTTTCCTAAGTTTCCTTTCTATCATACTGCATACAGCTAAGTACAGATAAGGCACCTTCACCCAAACTCAACCCAACTTTAATATCATCAAATTCATGCAAGTCTGTGGATATTTTCCAAGTGCCTACTATGTGCTAGCACATAGCTGGAATACGAATATTTGGCTAGCACATAGCTGGACTAAGAATAACTAAAGGAATAGGAATAACTAAAGGAACATGAACTCCACTACCATAGAGAAATGTAGAAAATTATGACATTGGGTGATGAGGTCAATAATGAAGTAGCCCAAGGGAAGTGTAAGTTCTTAAACCACCCGCCCCTCAAAAATAGCAATTGCTTCAAGTCAGGAAATCAAGAAAGGCTTCAAGTAGCATTTGACAATACATAGAGAATTGTACATTTGAGGTGACATTCCATTACGAGGAAAAAGTGTGGGGAAGGTATGGAAAGTTTCAGATATCAACAGAAAGGAGGAGTAGTACAGTTTCACCACAGGAAATGATGTGTGTAGAGAAATAATAACAATGGTGACAAAAACAAGAATTGAGATGTATTTGGGGACCTCTGTTGCCAGGCGGAGGGACTTGGGTTTCATTTGTATGTTTGTGTTTCCTGAAGAGTGAAGCCAGGATGACTAGTGGTAAAAAATATTATTTTAAAGGGCACATGAATTTCATTTTGTACATTTAATTATATCAAGAAAACACTGTAGCTATCCCAGGGATCACATTAAGGGGAAAATTTCAGTTAGGCTCTGAAACGCCTCTTTAAAATTTGTTAAACTCCCTCTGTAACAGAAAGAGTACAGACTTCAGGTTCAGTGTTCTCAGCAGAAAACATTGATTGTCTAACTAGAAATTAAGGATTTGTTTTGTTCAAATCCTATTCATGGCCAGCCATGATGGCTCGGGCCTGTAATCTCAGCCCTTTGAGAGGCTGAAATAGGAGAATCACTTGAGGCCAGGAGTTTGAGATGAGACTAGGTAACATAGCAAGACCCCATCTCTATAAAAAAATTTAAAAATTAGCCAGGCATGGTGCCATGTGCCTGTAGTCCCAGCTACTTGGAAGGCTGAGATGGGAGGACTGCCTGAGCCCAGGAGGTCAAGGCTACAGGGAGCCATGGTTACATCACTGCATTCCAGTTTGGGCAACAGAGTGAGACACTGTCTCTTAAAAACAAACAAACAAAAATCCTATGTATCTTAATAATCATCTCCAGTTTATGGCAATTGATATTGGTCTTATTTTTCTATAGTATTGCCATTAAGGCATTTTCCTACTTATTAAATAGATCTAATTCAGTTTTAATAAAAATCAGTGTATAAAGAAAATTATTGATTAAAGCATAGTACAGGCAGAATGTTGAAATGGCAAAAAGAAACTGAAGATGCTATGTCAACAGCTAATCTTTAGGAAAAAGATGATAGGCCAATTGTGCCATGTCAGGGAAGCCTACACTAGCAAGTATTCAGGGAGAAAAGGATGACTATATCAAATGCTCTTTGGGGCCAAAGAGAATTTGGTTGTATTCAAAGCGCACTGGTTACCTCCTAAGCCTTTCGTAGCAGATTTGGATGGAAACCAGACTGCAAGGATTCAACTGGTAGTAAGAGGGCAGACATGACTTGGATAGCCATGGACATATTTGGAAGGAAAATGTGGTGCTATGGAATGGGAAACTTTTATCACTATATTCCTGGTTTGACTGAATAGTCAGTGTATAAATCTCGGAAGGCTTTAACTTCCCTGAGACTCAGTTTTACCTTGGTAATATTTAAGAAAAATATGGCCATCATCTTCTTCTCTTGAGTACAGTGCTTAAATAGAAAAATGATTTGGGTCGGGCACAGTGGCTCACGCCTGTAATCCCAGCACTTTGGGAGGCCGAAGTGGGCCGATCACCTGTCAGAAGATCGAGACCAACCTGGCCAACACAGCGAAACCCCGTCTCTACTAAAAATACAAAAATTAGCCAGGCATGGTGGTGGGCGCCTGTAGTCCCAGCTACTCAGGAGGCTGAGGTAGGAGAATCACTCGAACCCGGGAGGTGGAGGTTGCAGTGAGCCAAGATGGTGCCACTGCACTGCAGCCTGGGCAACACAGTGAGATTTATTCTCAAGATAAATAAAAGAATAAATAAATAAATATACTATTTGAATTGATCTGATCATAACTTCTACCCAATCCTATGTCTAAATATGCCATTGATAACTCACCAGCAAAATGGTTTGTGTTTGTGTGCTAAGGAGTTGAGATGCTGAATCCTTGGAAATAACAGTAGGTGGCAACTGGAGAGAAGCTTTTCTCAATTTTCATCATAGCCTACAGGGACTTTGTTTATTTGTAAGAAAACAGTTTGGATCATAAATTGCAAGTTGTTATAATTGTTTTTTAAGGATAAGCATATCTCAAGAATTTTAATATTAAAAGGTAATATTTATCTTTTTAGATACTCTATACTTATTGAAAATAATACCTCAAAAGAATCATCATTTATTAGTGTTAAATTACTTATATGCATTAACTCCATTTAACTTTCATTAAAAAATCTATGAGGTAAATATTATTGTTATTATCATTTTTTAAAAATAAGACTTAGGGAGGTTTATTTAACTTTCCCTAGATGACACAGAACCAGTTCCATCCATATTTCAAACCTCAAGCAATATGGTACTTAGAGCCCATACTCTTGACTTCAATGTACATTGCTCCCATAAAATCTAAAAACTTAATCAATGTATAAAATGCTTTGTCCAGGATGAAAAGATCAGTTCCAGAAATGTAGGGATGGATTACATTTTCAAAAATGTTATCTCATGATATGTTAGGACTTATCAAAAAAGTAATATTTATTTTGTTTAGATATCCTATACTAAGTACTAGAATGTCTCTTTATCAAAATATTTTATGTATTCTTTTTTTGTTTGTTTTTGTTTTTGTTTGGTTTTTTTGAGACAGAGTTTTGCTCTTGTCGCCCAGGCTGGAGTGCAATGGTGCAATCTTGGCTCACTGCAACCTCCACCTCCCGGGTCCAAGCAATTCTCCTGCCTCAGCCTCCCGAGTAGCTGGGATTACAGGCACCCACCACCACTCCTGGCTAATTCTTTTGTATTTTTAGTAGAGACAGGGTTTCACCATGTCAACCAGGCTGGTCTCAAACTCCTGACCTCAGATGATCCACCCGCCTCGGCCTCCCAAAGTGCTGGGATTGCAGGCATGAGCCACCGCACCCAGCCTCTTTTATGTATTCTTTCTTAAACTTCCTCCTAGTTCCAGCTCAAGAACCATTGTCTCTGTTGCAGTTCTTCTGACTCTTTTCCCTCTCTAAATGCTTACGGCACACATAATCCATGCCTCATCATAACCCACCTGATTATATATTGCATTTTTGGATATATTAAGGCTCCTGAAATTCATGCAAAATTTCTAAAGAAGTAAATCTGTCTTCTATCACAATAGGCATTTAATAAATTATTGCGTGAAACATATTAAAAACAACTCAACACTAAATTAAAAAGTCCACACCCAGAGCAAAACTCTTAAAGATCATTTCTCCAAGCCTCCAACTTACACTCTGCTTGCTCCTCATACTTTTAGCTTAGCTAATGTTTTCACATCTAAAGCCAGACTGCATTGAATTCTTTAAAGCTGAAGCAAGCTTATTCAGTCAGCTATAAATATAAATGTTTACTGGAACACAAACTAGAAGGAAGTATATGAGAAAAATAAAGGGAGTAAAGCAATCCTTTTTCTTCTCCAAGGCTCATTTCTCAGAACCAAATATTTAAATGGGATTTTAACTGCCAGACAAGTTAGCCAGGTTTAACGAGTCTAAAGACAGATGAATATTAAACTAAGCCTGAATACAAAGAGATTGGCATGTAATACAACTTAAAACCCAAAGTCATCAGTATGAATGTTCTATTATGTATGGTTATTTCTTTTAATGTTTATTGTGCCAATTATTACCCTGCAATGTACTGACCTGTTTATATATCACCTCTGCAAGACTGTAGGCACTTCACAAACAAGGACTGCGTCTTTGCATGTTAAGAGGTCAGTCTTGAATGTTTGCGTCCAATGTTAACATCTGCACCCAATCAGACTTGTCCTGTTAACAATGATTAACATTCATTTAGTGCTTACCATGAGTTGATCTCTATTCTAAGCCTTTTAAATGTACTAATCCATTTCCTTTTCAAAACCCCCAGAAAATACATGTTCTAATTATCATTCCCATGTTACAGATGAGGCTACTGGGACACAGAGAGGTAAGGAAAGTTAAGGAGGCAGAACCAGAATTAGAAACAGGTAGTCCTGCCCCACTCTTCACCACTACACTGCAATCCCTCATTTGGAATGGTACTGGTGACTAGAAAAGGTAGGTGGAAATTTGGAAGTCTGAACTAAAACCTCTGTGCTTATGCTTCAGATGATTCTAACACAGATGATATGAGAACCACATGTTGAAAAACAGATGTAGGTACTAGTAGTAGTAATGTTAAGAACTGGTGTTTGTTTATCATTACACTTCACCAAACATTTCCATATACATGATCTCATTTCACTCTTATAACAACCCTGCAAGGTAAGTATTATTGTCTTCCATGTTTCTTAATGAGAAAAGCAAGGCTCCTAAAGCTTCCCCTAAAACCACATTCCCTGTCAAGCACAAATTTTCCCGTTCTAATCCCCATATCCTTTCCACGGTTCCAGTGTCCTGAATGGTCTTCCTGATTCTGCGTCTGCCTCTCTACAACTCATGGTCCACACGCAAACAAGCGATCTTTCATAAGCATACATCAGATTGTGTCGCTTCTATGAATTCTCAGTACATTTGGCTAGAATTCAATTTCCTTACTAGAGTGAGAGAGGTCCCTTCTGGTCTGGTCGCTGCCTGCTTCCCTCACCTAACCTCCCACTCTTCTCCCCTCTTTCTAGCTCTAGCTCTACTTTCCTTTTTAACCCCCTCACACCAAGCTCTTTTCTCCAGCTGGGCCTTTGTCCCTTTTCTATTCCTTATGTCATACCAGTTTCTGAAATGAGCCAACTGATTGATTGATCGTGAAGATGATGACAGAATCCTTGTCTGGCTTAATAGACAACATTCACAAAGTGCTAAGTACGGGTCCATATGCTTTACATATGCTGACTCATGTGATGTTTATGACAGAGAGCCTAGGACCTTGTCTGAGGTCACCAACTAAAAAGTGATGAAACTGAATTGCACCCAGACCGTGTGCCTTTCACCACCTTGTCTTAACTGCCCCTTGAAGGGAATCAAAGACTCCACCAGCCCACCTTTGGAAACACACCCTCATCTCTCTATGATCTCCCCGACACATAGCCTCCTGAGCAAGCCACCAGTGCTCGTGGTTAAACTCATTCTGAACAGACACACTTTGATGGAGGCATGTGCTTTAATCTCCTTTTCCAGTCCCATCTCTTTAAATCAAGGCAACAAAACTAACTGGAAACTACAGAATGAGAATCCAACATTACTAAGAATGCCCTTAAGATCAAAGTAATATCAGAGAATGTAGAATTTACAATTACTCTTTATTTGGTGGTGCTGGTAAGGCAGGTGGAGAGGAGAGGAAGGGAAGGTGAGGGGCTGTCAGAGTTGACTCCACACGATCTCAACGGAAATACTAAATTATGTGGGTCCCAAACCAACTGAAGGAGAAGCCTATTAATCAAAACAGAGCAGCAAGTGGCCAGTCATTTTTTCCCTTCCAAATGTGTCACTGGTTTGGAGGTCAAATATCTATTCTTCATCGAGTATAAAAAGCTGCCATTTGGAGGATGTTGGGTATTTTGTTATTATTTTGCTTTGTTTTGCTTTAAGACATCTGTCATTCGTGAGAACAAAGATTTCTGTTCTGTGGTTCTTAATAAGCTTTGCAAGGTGGTTTTCCCGGCATATGAAGAAGTCATTTGAATAATAAAAGCTCATATTTATAATTACATTGAGTTAAATAGATTTGCTTAGCTTAGGGTTTGAGGTTATTCATAAACAGATGTGAGGGTCCAGAAAGCCTCTATAACTTTAACAATCTCACTGCTTTGGGGTTGCTAAAGAGCTTAGAAGCCCAAATCTGAGTTAAAGAAGCTTTCCCCATTTCCCTGAATAATCACCATGGTACCTCAGCCTGAGTCCACTTCTTAAAACCTATTTAAATACTATTCATGTTTACTAGTCATTTGCCAGTGTGATGGCAATGAATGAGCTTGACTCTAAGCTGGGAACATTCACCCCTTAAGCATTCGAGAGAAAGGACCCTTTTATAAAATGCTTTGCTCTGTTCTCAGAATATATTGATGACCCCTAGCAACAGTCCTATTCTCAGAATATATTGATGACCCCTAGCAACAGTCCTAGTGAAGCTGCCAGTTTCAAAACAGTGATGAAAGGAGGTCGTCCTTCCGAGCAGCATCTTAAGGTCTGTAGACCTTTCCAGCCAACTCTCCTCTGCTTTCCCCTTCCCTCCCCTCTCCTCTCCTCCGTTCCTTTTTTTTTTTTTTTGAGACAGAGTCTCACTTTGTTGCCCAGGCTGCAGTACAGTGGTGCGATCTCGGCTCACTATAACCTCCACCTCCTGGGTTCAAGCAATTCTCCTGCCTCAGCCTCTCGAGTAGCTGGGACTACAGGCATGCACCACCATGCCCAGCTAATTTTTGTACTTTTTAGTAGGGACGGGTTTTAACCATGTTGGTCGGGATGGTCTTGAGCGCTCTCTTTTTTTTTTTTTTTTTTAATTTTTTTTTATTATTATTATACTTTAAGTTTTAGGATACATGTGCACAATGTGCAGGTTTGTTACAAAGGTATACATGTGCCATGTTGGTTTGCTGCACCCATTAATTCATCATTTACATTGAGTATTTCTTCTAATGCTGTCCATTCCCCAGCCCCCCCAGCCCACAACAGGCCCCAGTGTGTGATGTTCCCCTCCCTGTGTCCCAGTGTTCTCATTGTTCAATTCCCATCTATGAGTGAGAACATGCAGTTTGGTTTTCTGTCCTTGTGATAGTTTGCTCAGAATCATGGTTTCCAGCTTCATCCATGTCCCCGCAAAGGATATGATCTCATCCTTTTTTATGGCTGCATAGTATTCCATGGTGTGTATGTGCCACATTTTCTTAATCCAGTCTATCATTGATGGACATTTGGGTTGGTTCCAAGTCTTTGCTATTGTGCGCATTTGCATGTGTCTTTATAGTAGCATTATTCATAATCCTTTGGGTATATACTCAGTAATGGGATGGCTGGGTCAAATGGCATTTCTCGTTCTGGATCCTTAAGGAATCGCCACACTGTCTTCCACAATGGTTAAACTAAGGAACTAATTTATACTCCCACCAACAGTGTAAAAGCATTCCTATTTCTCCACATCCTCTCCAACATCTGTTGTTTCCTGACATTTTAATGCTCGCCATTCTAACTGGTGTGAAATGGTATCTTATTGTGGTTTTGATTTGCATTTCTCTGATGACCAGTGATGATGAGCATTTTTTCATGTGCCTGTTGGTTGCATAAATGTCTTCTTTTGAGAAGTGTCTGTTCATATCCTTCGCCCACTTTTTGATGGGGTTGTTTCATTTTTTCTTGTAAATTTGTTTAAGTTCTTTGTAGAGTCTGGATATTAACCCTTTATCAGATGGCTAGATTGCAAAAATGTTCTCCCTTTCTGTAGGTTGCCTGTTCATTCTGATGGTAGTTTATTTTGCTGTGCAGAAGCTCTTTAGTTTACTTACATCCCATTTGTCTATTTTGGCTTTTGTTGCCATTGCTTTTGGTGTTTTAGTTATGAAGTCCTTGCCCATGCCTATGTCCTGAATGGTATTGCCTAGGTTTTCTTTAGGGTTTTTATGGTTTCAGGTCTAACATTTAAGTCTTTAATCCATCTTGAATTAACTTTTGTATAAGGTGTAAGGAAGGGATCCAGTTTCAGCTTTCTACATATGGCTAGCCAGTTTTCCCAGCACCATTTATTAAATAGGGAATTCTTTCCCAATTTCTTGTTTTTGTCAGGTTTGTCAAAGATCAGATGGTTGTAGATGTGTCGTGTTGTTTCTGAGGCCTCTGTTTTGTTCCATTGATCTATATATCTGTTTTGGTACCAGTATGATGCTGTTTTGGTTACTGTAGCCTTGTAGTATAGTTTGAAGTCAGGTAGCGTGATGCCTCCAGCTTTGTTCTTTTTGCTTAAGATTGTCTTGGTAATGTGGGCTCTTTTTTGATTCCATATGAACTTTAAAGTAGTTTTTTCCAATTCTGTGAAGAAAGTCATTGGTAGCTTGATGGGGATAGCATCAAATCTATAAATTACCTTGGGCAGTATGGCCATTTTCATGATATTGATTCTTCCTATCCATGAGCATGGAATGTTTTTCCATTTGTTTGTGTCCTCTTTTATTTCGTTGAGCAGTGGTTTGTCATTCTCCTTGAAGAGGTCCTTCACATCCCTTGTAAGTTATTATTTCATTAATTTGATCTTCAATCACTGATACCCTTTCTTCCACTTGATCGAATCAGCTATTGAAGCTTGTGCATGCATCACGTAGTTCTTATGCAATGGTTTTCAGCTCCATCAGGTCACTTAAGGTCTTCTCTACACTGTTTATTCTCGTTAGCCATTTGTCTAATCTTTTTTCAAGGTTTTTAGCTTCCTTGCAATGGTTTTGAACATCCTCCTTTACCTTGGAGAAGTTTGTTATTACTGACCTTCTAAAGCCTACTTCTGTCAGCTCATCAAATTCATTCTCCATCCAGCTTTATTCCATTGCTGGGGAGGAGCTGCGATCCTTTGGAGGAGAAGAGGTGCTCTGGTTTTTAGAATTTTCAGCTTTTCTGCTGTGATTTCTCCCCATCTTTGTGGTTTTATCTACCTTTGGTCTTTGATGTTGGTGACCTACAGATGGGGTTTTCGTGTGAATGTCCTTTTTGTTGATGTTGATGCTATTCCTTTCTATTTGTTAGTTTTCCATCTAACAGTCAGGTCCCTCAGCTGCAGGTCTGTTGGAGTTTGCTGGAGGTCCACTCCACAACCTGTTTGCCTGGGTATCATCGGTGGAGGCTGCAGAACAGCAAATATTACAGAACAGTAAATATTGCTACCTGATCCTTCCTCTGGAAGCTTTGTCCCAGAGAGGCACCCACCTGTATGAGGTGTCAGTCAGCCCCTACTGGGAGGAGTTTCCCAGTTAGGCTACACAGGGGTCAGGGACCCACCTAGGGGGCAGTCTGTCCATTCTCAGAACTCAAACACCATGCTGGGAGAACCACTGCTCTCTTCAGAGCTGTCAGACAGGGACATTTAAGTCTACAGAAGTTTCTGCTGCCTTTTGTTCAGCTATGCCCTGCCCCCAGAGGTGCAGTCTATAGAAGCAGCAAGCCTTGCAGCACTGCTGTGGGTTGCGCCCAGTTCGAGCTTCCCAGGCTGCTTTATTTACCTACTCAAGCCTCAGCAATGGTGGATGCACCTCCCCCTGCCAGGTTGCTGCCTCGCAAGTCAATCTCAGACTGCTGCACTAGCAGTGAGCAAGGCTCTGTGGGCGTGGGACCCACCAAGCTAGGCACGGGATATAATCTCCTAGTGTGCCATTTGCTAAGACCATTGGAAAAGCACAGCATTTGAGTGGGAATGTTCCATTTTTCCAGGTACAGTCTGTCACAGCTTCCCTTGGCTAGGAAAGGTAAATCCCCCGACCCCTTGTGCTTCCCGGGTGAGGCAACGCCCTGACCTGCTTCAGCTCACCCTCCGTGGGTTGCACCCACTGTCCAACCACTCTCAATGAGATGAACCAGGTACCTCAGTTGGAAATGCAGAATTCACCCATCTTCTGTGTCAATCACACTGGAAGCTGCAGACCAGAGCTGTTCCTATTCGTCCATCTTGGAACAGCAATTGGTCTTGATCTCTTGACCTCGTGATCTGCCCGTCTCAGCCTCCCAAAGTGCTGGGATTACAGGCATGAGCCACCGCATCTGGGCCTACAACCTATTTAAATACTATTCATGTCCTCCCTTCTTTTGAAACTCACCAGCCCCATGAGCCTTGAGGTCCTTTGGAGATGATGGGGTTAATTCCACAGCAAACTTTGAAAGCTGTAATGTGTTATCCTACTTGAAAACATACTTCTGAAATAATTATAAGTGTTTAGGGCAAGAGGTGTTCTTGGCCACTAATTTTCTATCATTTCTGAAGTGGACACTCTTTACAAATCAATTCTTACACAGAGTCACAACATACAAAACAGAGAAAAGCCCAGCAGCTCTCATCAAAGTGTCATTTACCTGGATGCTCCCTAACCCTCCTTCCCCTTTCCTTTCATGGCCCTTTCAAGACCTAGAATTCTCCCAGACACAGTTTAAAGACCTTGCTCTGATCCTACCAGATCAGAGGATTTGGCCAAACCTCGGGTTCTGAGCTTCAATCTGAACTTTCTTCACAGGATACCTAACTTGTCAGACATCTGTGCCACACTGAGTAAGTCCCAAATATGTGATCTCCAAAGCTCTAGTAATTTTTCAAGTCAAATCCAATTTAATGTGCATAGTGGGTATAGTAGCATTTCCCCAGAATTCATATCCACCCAGAACCTCAAAATGTGACCTTATTTGGAATAAGGGTCATTACAGATATGATTAAGATAAGGCTCAATATTTGATCATATTAGATTAAGGTGGGCCCTGAATCTAATGACAGCCTCCTTGTAAGGCAGAGAAAAAGAAAAGACACAAGGACATAGAGAAGAAAGCATTGTAAAGATGAAGGCAGAGATTGTAGTGATTGATCTACAAGCCAAGGAGCTCCAGGGATTGCCAAGAAATATCAGAGGCTCAGAAAGAAGCATGAGGAGCTTTCTCCCTCAGAGCCTCCAGAAATAATCAACCTGCCAACACCTTGATTTTAGACTTCTGGTCTCCAGAGCTGTAAGAACCAAACATTTCTTTGTTTTTGACTGCCAAATCTGTGATCCTCTATTACGTCAGCTCTCAGAAAGTAATACATTCTGCCTTTCACTTAGTAGGCCCTCCAACATTTGCAGAAGAAATATTTGTTGAGTGAAAAGAATAAATGAGTTCAATTCGATACAGTGGTTGACTAAGAAAAATATTTATTAATTAGTGCTTGAGGAGGAGACAGGATGCATGTGGCTGGGGCTGGAGGAAACCCATGTTCTTCTTCAACTCTCTTATAACACAAGACTAAGGCAGGGCCTCTGCAGGGCCAAGCATGTGAGCAGTTCAGGAAGAAGAAACTATGACTAACACTTAGCGATCAGAGGAAAAACAGATCACTTATTGAGGCTTCCTCAAAGATGTCCTGAGATAATGTTATAAAAAATTATTTCTTTTGAGCTGAGCACTTAAAAAGGTATAGATCAGCCTTATTTATGAGGTCTCTATTCTGTTCCATTGGTCTATATTCCTGTTTTTGTACCAGTACCATGAAGTTTTGGTTACTGTAGCCCTATAGTATAGTTTGAAGTCAGATAACATGATGCCTGCAATGACCATCTGATCTTTAACAAACCTAACAAAAGCAAGCAATGGAGAAAAGACTCCCTATTCAATAAATGGTGCTGGGATAACTGACTAGCCATATGGGGAAGACTGAAGCTGGACCCCCTCCTTACACCATATATTAATACAAAAATCAACTCAAGATGGATTAAAGACTTACATGTAAAACCCGAAACTATAAAACCCTGTAAAACAGCCTAAGCAATAACATCCTGAACATAGGAACGGAAAAAGATTTCATGGCAAAGACACCAAAAGCGATAGCAACAAAAGCAAAATTTTACAAATGGGATCTCATCAAATTAGCTTCTGCACAGTAAAATAAACTATTAACAGAGTAAACAGACAACCTACAGAATTGAGAGAAAATATTTTCAAACTATGCATCTGACAAAGGTCTAATATCCAGCATCTATAAGGAAATTAAACAAATTTATAGGAGAAAAACAACACCATTAAAAAGTGGACAAAGGACATGAACAGACAGTTTTCAAAAGAAGACATAAGTGTGGCCAACAAGCATATAAAAAAAGACTCAATATCACTGATCATTAGAGAAATGCAAATCAGAACCACGATGAGATACCACCTCACACCAGTCAGAATGGCTATTATTAAAAAGACAAAAAATAACAGATGCTAGTGAGGTTGAGGAGAAAAGAGAACATTTATACACTGTTGGCAGGAGTGTAAATTAGTTCAACCATTGTGGAAAGCAGTATGGCAATTCCTCAAAGAGCTAGAAGCAGAACTACCAGTCAACCCAGCAATCCCATTACTGGATATATACCCAGATGAATATATATATCATTCTACCATAAAGACACATGCATGTGAATGTTCATTGCAACACTGTTCACAAGGGCAAAGACATGAAATCGACCTAAATGCCCATTAGTGACACACTGGATAAACAAAATGTGGTACATACACACCATGGAATATTATGCAGCCATAAAAAACAATGAGATCATATCTTTTGCAGGAGTGTGGATGAAGCTAGAGTCTTATCCTTAACAAACTAACGCAGAAACAGAAAACCAAATATCACATGTTCTCACTTATAAGTGGGAGCTAAATGATGAGAACTCATGAACACAAAGAAGGAAACAACCGACGCTGAGGTCTTCTTGAGGGTGGAGGGTGGCAAGAAGGAGAGCAGCAGAAAAAATAACTATTGGGGGTGGGTGTGGTGGCTCACGCCTGTAATCTCAGCACTTTGAGAGGCTGAGGCAGGCGGATCATGAGGTCAGGAGATCGAGACCAGCCTGGCCAACATGGTGAAACCCCATCTCTACTAAAAATACAAAACTTAACTGGACGCATACCTGTAATCCCAGTTACTCAGGAGGCTGAGGCACGAGAATTGCTTGAACCTGAGAGGTGGAGGTTGCAGTGAGCTGAGATCACACCACTACACTCCAGACTGGCAACAGAGTGAGGCTCCATCTCAAAAAAAAAAAAAAAATACTAAGAATAATAACTATTGGGTACTAGGCTTAACCTGGATGATAAAATTATCCATACAACAAACTCCCATGACAGGATTTGACCTGTATAACAAACCTTCGCTTGTATCCCCAAACCTAAAATAAGTTTAAAGAAAAGGACAAATCATATACATAACAAAGGGCAATTGGTAGACTCATATAGTTCACGCGAAGATTATTTTAATGATATTATGATAGATTCCAATAATAGTTATGAAGTTGTTATAGCTTCTTAGATTTTGCAATGTATTGTTACCTTGGCTTTTATGTTTTCAATCCATGAGCATCAAGTTTTACTGGCCATGTTTTGGTGGCACACTTGTTGTCTGTTTTGTGTCTTCACATCCTTCACCTAATTACAGTTTTCTTCTTACGCTATGTACCTAGTGACTAAATTTCTACTCACTTAATGTCCCTGAAGAGTTTTTGAAATGTAATGAATTAACCACTTTCCCTGTAATTTATGCATACATTTATATACTGAACTGTAGTTTAATCAAACTCCTTTGCCTTATGTAGTATGGTAGTAATATCTAATGAAAACATATGAAGTATGTGTTTCATAATTACCCCAGACAGCTCATTTCAGTTTGCTTCCTACTTAATCCCAAAATTCCTATCTTCCTGCACTGTAAACACTTTCCTTCCCTTCTCATCAATCTCAGTTATATAAATGAAACAGGGGTGGTTGCACAATTACTGAGTGCTTTTTCTGGGTGTTATCAAAGGCCCGGTTCTAGAGAAACAGCTGACAAGGGCACCCACTAAAAGTGATCCTTTTGTTTGACTGAAAGGTTGAAGCAGGTCCAAATTAGGGAGAACTTTGCAAACTCCATTGGAGGAGTGCTGCAGGGGCCAGTGAATGCCAAGTGCATGGTGGAAACATGGCTCATGCGGACCCACCCTGCTGCTGGGAGTGAACCTCACTCAATACGTGGTACTGTACTTTCTTTAGGGCACATTAAGAGAAAAGCCATCCCAGTAAAATTACTCTCTGCACCTTTCTTTAAATTTCCACAGCTAGTTTAAATGTCTTTTCCCTTATTTTTTTTTTCAGGATAATATCTTTTCTGTCATTTCCTTCTAAGAGGAAAACAATATTTCACATTCCCCACCTTCAATATTCCAGAACCTGTTGAAAGAAGATGCAAATCATCTTGAAAATAGCATCATGGAAAAACACACTGCTAGTTGAAGGCAGATATTCTTATACCTACTGACTGATTTCAGGTAAGTTAAACAATCTCTAAAGCTTCAGTGTCCTCATCTGCAAAAGAAGATAATATCAGCTATCACTGTAGGTTGCCATGAGAATAAAATAATAAGTAACGCCTAGCACAATGCTAGGCACTACAAAAGACTATATGCTTTTTCTTCTTCCTTTCCATTTTCTGTCTACCAAGTGAGATGTTCATTTGTTTGGTAGCATTTATGGAACACATTATATAACAGGCACTGTGTTGGAACCTGGAGATAGGGCATGACCATTGGCCAAATGAGTGTGACTGTCTAACAGAGAGGATAGACATTAACCAATTAATGACATACAACTTATATTTGCCAATTCTGTGTATTCTAAAGGAAAAGCCCAGGATATGCTGGGATAATTTGAACAGAAAGAGTACCCGAGGTCATTACGGTAAACAGGATTGAATTAGGTGAAGAGAGAAAAGGGAGGGGAAGAAGCTTCCATGTAGGAAGAATTTGAAAACCTAAAAAGTATCTCCTAAACTCATTAGGGTAAGAAGTTTTCAGATTTATCATGAAGACCTCCAGGGAATGATTTTGCACTTTCCTTTGGCAACCTATTCTAGTGTGTGTGTTTTTGTTGTTGTGGGGGAGGTGAATTATAATATATAATGCAGGAAACGCTAGATAACTGTTTGCAGAATATATCCTATGGTAATATGCAGCAATATAATGAATTATTAATTTGTCTTTGATTCTCATTGCATTTTCCCTTTTCTAAATGAAACAGCCTGGTCCTTATGATCCCTTATTGTGCTGAAAGTCTTTGTTTCAAAATACAATAAAAACTTACTGGGATATAAAGGCTAGAAGACTGATGAATGTGAAGCCACTGTGGTTGTGGAAAGGAGGTTTAATTAAAGGTAGAAGGACTATCAAGAGGAGCAGAAGAAAAATAAGGAGGAAAAATCTTTTGATAATGTCTAAAATTACATTCTCGATCATTACCAAATAAATGAATTACATTTAGTTTGACTTTTAAAAACAGAGGAATGTTATACTTCTTATCCTTTCACATTTGTAGAATAAAACTCAAAGTCAATACAATAAGAAAATCATTGCTTAAGTGAAGTTCTTTAGATATCTCCAACAGGTAGAGCTTTCTCTATAATGTGCAAAGCAAACCCTGTGTTGTGCTAAAGTCAGCACTACTGCAGGGCCCTGTTAATAAATCCCTAGACTATGATTTGTGCAATAGGCCCTGCCAGGCCTACTATCCCCTCCTTCCTTCTGGCCAGTTCACACCCACAGACTGGTGTCACTGCAGGGCATGTGGTGTGACTAGTCATTATTAAATAACTGGTGGAAAACTTGGTAAAATGTAACTCTCATACAGCCCTTGTGCCTAAATTTCTTTTTGAAATACAAAAACCAGTCCAATTCACCATGCATATGTAAAATTCACCTAATGTAAAAATTCACTTTACATAAGTAAAATTCATTGAACAGGAATTTTTAAATGCTATTGAATTAATGGTTACTCCATGATTATCAATAATGTGAGTGACAAATTTTTGATCTACACTAGGCTAAGGTTCTGGATGTCATTCGAGGGCTGAGAATGACATTTTAAGAATTGCCTAACCCTTCCGATGTTTATCTCTGAGGTGACTATATACTGTTTTCAACCTCCCAACATGCATTCACCCTTTTCCTTGAGTTTTTCATAATTCAGCCATCAGCATGGCACCCATATAGCCTATGTACTGACTTCACCCCACCTCCATGTGTGTGGGTCTTGACTGGTTCAGCCAGTCAACACGCAGGTCCCATCCTCCTAACCGCATGATTGGTTCAGAGAATGTGACCAATTGCGCCAATCAAACACTCAGATAGGGGCTTATGGGGAAAAAAAAAAGTTTATCTGATCCTCCAGAGAGCTGCTACAAGACATACTGTTACTTCCTGCTAAATGTGAATTAGGAGCAAATAATTTCCACTAGCTGTGGGAGGCCATCTTATGGCACCAGGAAAGAAAGACATAAGGGAAAAAATGGTTATTTGAGTGACATTGTTAATTCATGTAATAATCTTTACGTGACCACTACTTCAGGACTTTTAGTTATGTAATACACTCCCTCCTTACCTTTCTTAAAAATGTCAGTTGGACTCATGTTTTCAATTACATGGAATTAAAGGATTTTTGAAACAAGATCCTTGTTTTCTCTCCACCGTCACTTTATTTGGAGGTTGGTATTGAAGGAGAGCAGAAAACTTGCTCAATTTCTATCTTCTCTGTGACAGGGAACAAACGAGTGAATTACAAAGGTGAATTGCAGTTTTATTAGGCAGTAGATTTTAAATAACTTAATAGCCGCCTTTAAAAGGAAAAATTAGCAGAAATACATAATTATTATATGTGAACAAAAATACATAATTTTATCCAAACACACACACAATGTTTCATGACTTTACTCCCTTCTGCTTTTCCTCAGGCAAAGGCACTCCTGGATTTCTGGGAAGGTGGTGCCAATTGTCAGGCTCCTTGTTGGAGTATATTATTCTGATTCAGAGTACTGCTGAAAACTTGAAGGTCTATAAGAACATCTCAGCACTCAGACCATGGATTTCCTAAATCCCCCTTCATAAGTGGGAAAATCAAGAGAAAAGAAAAGCAGAGAATAAAAAAGGAAAAAAAAAAATGAGCACGTAACTACATTTAAAAAAAAAGAAGGCAAAAATCAAGGGCCAGAGAAAATGATTTTTAATTGTCATTATTCGTTTTATTCTTTTGTCCTTTTCCAGTGTCAATCATGTATAGACTAATGAGAAAAAATGAAAATGAGTTTCAGTAAACAGACCACTTTTGTTGGACTCAGTCTTGAGTTGATCAAATGAGGCAGCTGAACTGAGACTGAATCTTCCCTGTGATTAGCTCAACTCTTGAAGTAGCCAGGCACCTGTGAGGATACAGGGGAGGAGAGAAGATAATAATTGGTCTCTCATCTTTTATAATTATGTATGTTTCAAGTGGATGTGAACTGTGGGGTTTGAGAGGGCTACATAAAAGGGGAAAATTCTGATGTGAACACTTCAGTCATTAACTCTAGCATTCAAAAGGAAAGGAAGATAAAAATTTAAACAATAGGAGACTTGAGCAATAGAAGACTTAAAATAATAATGTTTACTGAAAATTAGGACAATTGTTCATTAATTTCGTATCTTATGGCATCTTCATCATACTAAATAGTTACCATAGCTATTGACTGGACAGAGAATTAACCGTTTTATCCCCCTTTTTATACAACATTTCTAAAGTCTCAAAAAAAAAATAACAATTTCTTCCTTTTTATATTCACTTTTGAGGTAAAAGTAAACAATAAATGAGAAGATTTCAATGGGCTATTTATGTGTGTGTGGATCATGAGAGAAGTTTAACAAAATGTAAGGTATTACAGAAAACTTTTTCCTTATAAATATAAAACATTTCCAAAGACTCTGTGACTGTGGTGTTCATTCTCATCTCTTATTTTCAGGTTCCTAAGCAGAACATAAACAAATTTTATGCTTGATATTTTGTCTGTAATTAAAATATACTTCCAGTAAATTCATAGGTGGCCTAGAGGTGGGGTTTAATTAGGGATTTGGGATACACACGGCTCTTCCATTCTTTATTAAGTGGAAAAAATGACTGTTCTCCCAATAAATTACTTTTTCCCAAGATACTGCAATTAATTATTGTAATCCAATGTAACTTGTAATAATTTATATTTGAAAACATACTTTAATAAAGCAAGATTTAAGGGAAAAAAAACACAAACAAGAAGGTATAATTCTACCAGACTGTAATCTCCATTAAGGCAGGTGACTTGGTTCACTGATATATTCTGATCACCTAGAACATAGTCTGACATATGTTATTGATACTTAACGCTTCGTCTATTTGTTGAAAAAAATGTAAATATATATTTTCACAACATACCATTCTTACTCAACTTGAATTCTATTCACACATAGTCTTTATCTACCTGTGGCTTTCTTTCAGGTTTGTGTAGGATAGTTCGTAATGTCATCATGGGGATCACCATGTCTAGACAAGAGCCCTTTGGGGGAGTAAATACTGCTAGAGCTAGAGCGACATTGGCATAAAAACAAAAGCAAACAAAACAAAAAACACTTGGTCTTTCTTCTCTTACAGATTGCTACTTCAGAGAGAAAGAGCTCCCACTGCCTGCTTACAGCCAACCAGTTAGAGGAAAGGCCCTAATTATCCTTCCAAGTTCTGGCACTCAGACTCTATCTATTTCTTCTTTTGGCTCCAGACCAAACAAAATGTGAAAAGAAAAAAAAAAAAAAAAAAGTCAAGAAAAAATGCAACAGGGCAATAATGCTTTTCTGTGTGGCACACGATCAGAAAATTACTTCCTCTCTACAAAATACTGATGTTAACTTTCTTCCAGTGATCAGAAGTTTAAGATTTCATACAATGCTTAATGAATAAAACCCTATTCGCATACTATGTTTCCTTATTAAAACAGAAAGTCTTTCAAAGGAGATATATCCATCTTTGGTTGCAAAATGATGTTACTTCTATTACCAGAGACTAATTTTAAGCATGTTGAGATGCATATAAAACATTTACTTTGTATTCTTTATGTTTCCCATCAGGGACTACTTTTCTGCTTTGAAATCAGAACTTTTTGTCTTTTCTCTTTTTTTTGGCATTCCTTATTCCTCCTCCCATTATCCCCATTCCTCCCCACACAACTCCTTGAACTTATCTTTTGTCTTTATCTTTTTGTTCTTCTCTATACATAATATGCACAAGTTCGCACCTCCCTCCCAACAATGACCTCACTTTTTTTTTTTAAGCATTCACTACCTTCCTTTTGAAGAATAAAGAAGTTGGAGAAGATGGTATGTAACTTTCTGTTTTTCCACTTCTTCTAAGTGGTAGCATCACAAAAGATACCTCCATTGGTAGGGCAGATCTATATTACTAGAGAAGAAAAATGTAAACTTCACATACTCACATTTATGGAAAAATACAAACATTTCTACCTTTTCTATTGAACCACCAAAAATGCCTCAAATCCAAAATTCAGAGCTCACAGCATAGTCTTCTTAGACCTTATTAGATTTTATGAAAGTGACTATCAGTTCGCAAGTGAAAGGGTATGTAACTTGTATAGCAAACCCATTCAAATTTCTTAGAGTACACAATTATGTAAAATTACACACCAACCACTGAGCCCTCAACAAGAAAATGTTTACTGAATGGATAAATCAATGAAGTGAGGATGTGGCGAATCATCTTGGCTAAGGTACGGAAAGTGAATTAGAGACTAGACAAGCTGGAAGTTATAAGACCAGTTAGGAGATTTTTTTAAATAACATTGAGGAGGCAAGTAGTGATCTTTTAAAAGGCAGCGGAAACGGAGAACAAGGTCTAGGTATATTCTAAAAATAGGGACAGGTAAAATCTCCAGAAATTGTTGCCAGAATGAATTTTGGGCAAGCATCCAGAGGATGATAAAGACAGGACTCACTGTACCCACTGGTATTCACCTGAAAATGAAGATTTCAAAAAATTATGTGAATATCATTAGAACAAACATGGACATTTATAAGTTTACAAGCCTTAGAGTGCCTAAGTATGACTCACTAAATCATCTACTCCCCTAAACATCCTTCTACATACTGACAAGGATCAGCCTTTCCTGTGTTGACAAAAAGAGTCAAATTCTGAAATATACTTGAAGAGATATATTCTGAGCCATATATGAGTGACATGGCCCATGACACAGCCCCAGGAGATCCTGAGAACATGTGCCTGAGGTCATCGGGCTACAGCTTGGTTTTATAGGAGGGGTGGGAGGGGCTTCCATGTCATAGGTGAATTCAAAGATTTCAAAGATATTTCTGATTAGCAAGTGGTTGAAAAAATTTATCTAAGGAAGGAACTGTCTGGGTTAACATAAGATCTTGTGGAGACCAAGGTTTTTACTATGTAGATAAAGCCTCCAAGTAACAGGGCTTCAGAGAGAATAGATTGTAAATATTTCTTATCAGACTTAATAAAAGGCACCAGATTCTTAGTTAATTCTCTCCTGGATCAGGAAAAAAACATGGCAAGGGAAAGAGATTCTGTACAGGATATAGATTTTCCCCACAGGAGACAGCTTTGCAGGGCCTTTTCAAAATATGTCAATTAAATATGTTTGGGGGGAAAGGTACTTTGATTTCTTTTAGGGCCTGTTAGCTGTCATTTTGGCATTTTATTGGTGTGAAGAACCTGCTTTGTTAGTCTTAAGGTCTGTTTTAATGTTAATGCTGGTCAGTTGAGACTGAATTCCAAAGGGAGAAAGGTATAATGGGTCATGTTCGACCACCCATTTCCATCGTGGCCTGAACTAGTGTTTCAGGTTTATTTTGGAATGCCCTTGGCTAAGAAGAGGGTATTCATTTAGTTGGTTCTGGGACCTAGAATTTTTATTTTTGGTTTATACCTGTGTCTTACTACTTGTTGCTCCTATTTGATGAGCCATACTTCACTATACTTCTTTTGCTCATTAAGTTCAAAGTAGTCTTCATTTTAGTTGTTTTAATGTTATTAACTCCCACTTCGATCATTTCTTCCTGTCAGGTGTTCAGTATTTCCATCACATCATCTTCTATCACATCCTAACTCTCCTACTCCCTTCCCTTCAGTGATTGCCAGGACACACAACAGTATAATAAAATCAGAGGTCAAGAGAGTATGTTTAATTCATTTGTATTGGTTTTCATGGAATCAATTTATGCTCATGTATTTTAGATTAAAGATATACTATTTCCAAGCTTGCTTTTCATTTTCTTTTTCTTTTTCCTCTTCCTCCTTCACTATCACTGACCTAGATTCCATGTACCAGATGTGTTCACCTGGAACTCAGATTAAAAGGAAGAATGTTCACTCCCTGCTCCTTTTGTGCCTCAGGTCACAATCTGGAGAATTCCTCTACAGAGAGAAAGGCTGGAAAACATATTTCTAATTCTTAGAAGGAGGTAATTAAATAATTTCCTTTTATGATACTGTCTTTGTTCTCTTCTTGAAAGGAAAGAACATCCCCTTTATCACTTTAAACAGGGCAAACTAGTATTTCTAACCATCCTCCCAAAGTTAATTAACATGTAAATACTTGTCAGTAAAAGGTAACACTTCAGCAATTAGCATATAAATGGGCCAAGGACAATATTCTGCCATAAAGGAGACAGCTTGGAAGATTTTGCCAAATGTATTTGGAAAGAAAAAATATAAAATAAAATAAAGGCTTCATCATTTCCATGCAAACAGTTATGAACTAGAATGTCAGCTGAAGCCTGGGGTAAAAGGAGAACTACCCTGCTTAGATTGAATGAGGTGAAGTTTGCATACACAACATGGTTTTATGTACATGTTTACTCAAGTAGCGATGACGGAAAGTGACTAATTGTTTATGTCCAGAAAAACACATCATGTTTGTTTGATTTTAATGAATACCATCAGCGAAGGAAACAGAAAGCCATAGGTGCGAAAAGAATTTAAGGGCTAATTTTTCCATATTGGCTGTAATGATTAGTACACTCACAAAATTGCACATGCAGGGAATGCTTCTACTCAGCCCTGAATTTGTGTTTCAAATGAGGTAATTGTGCACCTAATGATCCGTTTGCACAAGCAATTACCTGATTGGCATATGCCAGGTGAGCTTGTGAGAGATAAGAGGGCAAATGTACTTTTTTTTGGCTTTGCATCCATGGTATCCTAGTTTGAAAAATAAAATAATTATAGTCATATTACCTTTTGACATTTTTATTGGAATCATGGGTCCATGTGTGAATGGGATGCTCATGCTAATGAATGAAAGATCATTAGCCCAAGATAAAAATAAACTCTGACCACACTACCAAAGATGCTTGTGATTTTATATTTACTGTTAAAACTACAACATAGCTAAGTTTATTGGGGGAGTCTCAGAATTTCTAATCAGAAAATTTGGCTTAAAATCGCGTGTAGCTACTATGTCAATTCCAGATATCCAAACTTAGGCAAGTCACCTAAAAATGCCAAATCATAGTTCTTCAAAATGGAGAGAATAATTTTGTTTATATGGAAACTTGATCTGGTGATTACTCATTGCATCCTGCATTAGAAGTGTCAACATTAAGTAAATCGTATTGATGCCTATGCCAGGTCCAGGTGAACCCTAGGAAACATGTTAGTGTTGGTCTGTTCAGCATCTCATCATCTCCTTCACTTGGCGGGGCTGAAAATCTGGACCCCACCCCTCTCACTACCAAGTGACAGGTGATCCAACTAGATTGAAGTCATCCTTGACAGACAGGGTCAGGCTCAATGACAGTTTTCCTACCTTTTTCCAGACCTAAAAAAGTCCCTTCAGGCTACTTCACAGTCCAAGGGTTGGGTGAAAACTGAATTCATCTTGAACATTTGAAAAGTAAGCACATTTTCAGGGCACTTCAGCCTCGGCAGTGTGAATACTTGGGACAGTGGAAAGGATCTGCACATAAGCCTCAACCTACCCAGAAGCTGATCATTTTCTCCCTGCACCCTAGAAAGTCAAGTGGGCCAGTAGAAGTTTCTATAATGATGGAAATATTCCATAACCTGGACTGTCCACTATGTTAGCCATTAGCCACATGTGGCTACTGAACACTTGAAGTGTAGCCAATGGTAATGAGAACTCAGGAACTGAATTTTTAATTTTATTCAATTCTAATGAATTTAATTTAACTTTAAAGAGCCACATGAGGCTAATGACTACCATATTGAACAATGTAGCAAGGAAAAAACAAAACAGTTTATCAAATAACAACTCCATACTATCAACTGTGAATGTCAGCTACTGTCCACAGTTGTTTACACCTACCCTTTAAAAATATGTAATGCCAATCCTCCCTTTCCAGAGCATCTTTGACACTTTTTTAGCCATTTCTTGGCCAATTCCTGGTCGTCATCGATAAGGTAAAAAAGCACAACGATCTAAGACTGAAATAATTACTCTTATTAGAATCCATCCTAAAACCAAACCAAAACAAAACCAAGAAAGAAACAGAAAGGCAGAGTTTGTCTAGGGCTTTTGGCGCCTGCAACCTGATGGTTGATGACCATTAGGTATGAGACTGTCATCCAATTGAGATGGAAGGTTAATGAATCAGAGTTTGTGACCTAACTAGGTATCTAAAATCCTGTATCCTAAAAATCATGCCTAACTTGCCTGGGCTTTGAAAGCATGGATAAAATAATAATAGTAAAACTAATATAGTAACAGTAACAATGAATAATAATTTATTACGTTTCAAGCATTGCTGTAAAATCATGGTTTATGTAATTTATTCTTCATGACAGCCTGAGGAGATGGTTGTTATTGTTTTTCTTATTTCACTGATTGAAGAACTGAGACTTCTAAAGGCCACCTTACTTGTCCAACGTCATAGCAAGAACATGTGGCAGAGCTGAGGTTCAGAGCCAGACCAGTTTGGCACCAGAGCCTATTGCCATAACCACTGTGTGATGTGGTTTTGAACCACATCAAGGTTAAGGATATTCCTGCAAAATTATCAAATGTTTTAGGTTTTATAGAAAAGCAAAAGTTTCCATGCTAGATGACTACTCTGCTGATGAACAAATATCAGTGAGTCTGAAACTAGGTAAACTGTTTCATGTGCAATTTAAGAGACTATTGGGACAGAGGAGTATCTGGAATGGCCTTTCTCTAAGGCAACAAGGATCTCACTTCTTCCTAAAGAGCTGAAATGAACCACTGAGTCTAGTTTTGTGTGATGGTTTCTTCCCTGAAATGAACAGTTCAGGATCATCTCAAGGACAGGAACACATTCATGCTTTAGTCCGTCTAGGGTGAGGACCCGAGGCCTATCGTGCCCCCTGACGGCCTCTGCTGACTGGTTTTTTCTTTGAGGCTTGCAATGCTGCCTACGTTCGGCTAAGCTTTGGCAAGTGATTTATAGTACTATTTGAGATTGCCATTCTTACTCAGGTGTAAATAAAGTGGTGAGATTGTCTCAGAATTGAAAAATGGCAATCTAGTACAAAATATAAATAATTAGAATTCTGGCTTCCAAAACTAGGTATGTGAAACAGAGGTGGGAGGTGGCAAGTAGGACCTGGCAATTTTCTCTGATGATATTAAAACCTTCAGACACACATACACACGCACAGCCCTATATATAAGACCAGGACACTAATATTCATTAAGCTACACTGCACCTACCTCTCTGCCTATAAAACTTAAGATCAAGTAATCCTTGAATGTAGTTGTCCTTGAATCTAGCCATGCTGTAGCTATTAACAAGAAATTTTAGAGCCACTTTCAAAAAAATATAAAAGAACTCATCTGTAGATTTAGGAAAAAAAGTATAAAATACAGCCACAAATAGGGCTATTGGAGACAACTAAAAGTACTAATTTTCCTGGATAATTCTACATACCAGGACATGATCATATCCAATTAAGTTGAGCTCTGTTCAATAATCACTGTGTAATGGGATAGAATCACAGAGTAATAGGATTTGTTTAAAGCAAGGACAGAGGAGCTTAATACCTATTAGATATCTTAAATGCATTAAGAATGAAAAAGACCAATTGATAGGAAACTGTTTACATGAACCTAAAGAAAATGAAAATAACTCTATGGTTTCTCTGAAGAGTCTTGCTGACATTTACAAACTTTGTTGCTCAGTAATTTTCAGCGCTAACTTATCTGAAAATAGTTAGAATCAAAAAGAAGAAGAGCTCAATATAGAGACATAAACTTTTTCTCATAAGATCACTGACCCTGGCAGATCAAAGTTTGGTCTGGAGTAGACAGGACAAGATCTTGGAAGGTCACGATGGCCCTGAACATATTGTTTGGCTTCTCAGATAGAGAACTTTCAAAAGGAACTGTGAATGCCTTGTCACGCTTGAACTAGATGTTAGTTGGCTAAGCTGAGAATCAAATATGGGAAATTAGTTGCCATTAAAAGATCGCTTCAGGCAGTTCATTTCTCATCAGCCAAGCTGTGCAGGCCTCCTGCTGGGGACAGTGAACATTAGCTTACTAAATACTTCAGCTCATCAGACACTGCTTTACTCATGGATGGGCCTGGATTTTGGCGATGGGGGAAGGGGAAGAGGAAAGAATGGATATAAAACATAACTACCAGCATCTATCTGGGTAGAGATTAATTCTCTATGCTATTAAAAATATAATTGTTCATTGACATGTACAGATATTCACAATTTATTGTTAAAGGAAAATAAGCTGGTTCTAAAACCTTTTTTATATGATGTTTTTGGGGGAGTGTGTGTATTTAACCTGGAAGAATGAACAGCAACATCTTTACAGAGGTGACTTTGGGGAGGTGTTTTTAGGATGACTTTTTATAATTTGTTTTATTCATATGTATTTTAAACACTTTTAAAATTATATTATTTTCAATAATTATAAATTTATAATAAACATCTAGTAGTAAATCTAATAATAGACATTAAACAAAAGATTATGCCTATTTCACTTTCTTCTCCCTGAAATGTTTTATTTCCTTTGGAGGAACACTCATCCTGCGTGTCACAGGCAGTGAAACCAGAGCAACTTCATCTCTTCATCTTGAAAAGGAGCTGGGTAAAATGAGGATGGAACCTGCTGCACTGCACTCCCAGGAGGTTAGGCGTTCTTAGTCACAGGAGGGGATAGGAGGTCACAAGATACAGGTCACAAAAAAATCTGCTGATAAAACAGGATGCAATAAAGAAGCCAACCAACCCCGTCAAATGCAAGATGGTGATGAAAGTGACCTCTGGTTGTCCTCACTGCCTGTTATAATGCGTTAGCATGCTAAAAGACACTCCTACCAGAGCAAAGACAGGTTACAAATGCCATGACAATGTCCAGAAGTTACCCTATGTGGCATAAAGGAAGAGAAACCTTCAGTTTCAGGAAATCCCCACCCCTTTCCCAGAAAACTTATGAAAATTCCACCTCTTGGATTATTGGCAGAATATGGTCAACAAATAACCATAAAACTAGCCATCAGCAGCCCTCAGGACTGCTCTGTCTATGGAGTAGCACTCTTTTATTTCCTTACTTTCTCTTTTTTTTTTTTTTTAAATACAGAGTCTTGCTCTGTTGCCCAGGCTGTAGTGTGGTGGAGTGATCTCGGCTCACTGCAACCTCTGCCTCCCAGATTCGAGTGATTCTCCTGCTTCAACCTCCCAAGTAGCTGAAATTACAGGGGCCTGTCACTATGCCTGGCTAATTTTTGTATTTTTAGTAGACATAGGGTTTCACCATGTTGGCCAGGCTGGTCTCGAACTCCTGACCTCAAGTGATCTGTCCACCTTGGCCTCCTAAAACACTGGGAATACAGACATGACTCACTGCACCTGGTCATTATTCCTTTACTTTCTTAATAAACTTGCTTTCACTTTACTCTGTGGACTCACCCTGAATTCTTTCTTGCGTGAGATCCAATAACCCTCTCTTGGGGTCTGGATTGGAACCCCTTTCTGATAACATAAGGGCCTTCCAAATGCTTGAAGGAAAAATTTCCAGAGCGAGTTTAAATGAATTGTGAACAGAAACCATACTTTATCTTAGGGCCTACACTGTTCTAGCAGTTCTAGAATTATGCTGCATAGGACAGCCCTGAAACGGTAGCCAGAGTCACCCGACATTATCACCGAGCTTTCTCTGTCCTGAGAGTTTGCACAGACTCACCTTTGTTCTCCCAGTGAAATAAATTACGTGCTCCAAAATAGAGGGCTGTGCCTACCTAGAAGTTTGCATTATATATGGGCAAAATAATGAATGGGCTCTGGAGTCAGACACTCTGAACTGGAATCTCAGTTTCACTGCATAATGGCTGAGTGACCTTGGAAAAGCCGCTTAATCATCTCTGGGATTCAAATTCTTTATCTATAAAAGGAAAGAGTAAAATCTATATCATACAATTGCCTTGAGGATTAAATTACATGTTTGTAAAGACTGTAAGGGAGGTCATCTCTGAGTTCTGGTTACTCTTACTTTCCCACCTTTTCACTCAGTGAAGTGACAAGGAAACCCTGGATAGGAAAAGGGGCTACAATGGCAGAGTTTCAAACAATGTAGGGTGGAGGAAGTTTATGCAGCACGCAAACTTAAGAGAAGTAAAGAAGAGGGGGTATATAAGAGCAAGTGTCTTTAAAAGTGCAGGTTGTGACTGATGGATGCCCAGGCAGTACAGAATCTATTCCTGCAAGATACCCACCCCCACCCGCTGAAAGGGAGCTTTCCAGAAGTACAAAGCTCTCATGATAGGAGACAGGGGGCCCAGCTTTGCTACCTGACCTACTTAGCCATATGAGCTGGTAAATGTGCCTGGGATTTCAAGCCAATTTTCCTCTCTTCAAAATGGGGATGTCATCTACTTTGTCTCAAAAAGTTGTCGTGAGACTCAAAAATTCTTTACAAAGTGGAAAATGCTACTTAACCATTTGTTAGGACTCCGGTTTGCAAGTAAGTGACAGAAACCCAGATCAGATAAGCATAAGCAAAAAGGGAAATTTCTCACAGAGTTGAGTGCAGGAACAAAGCTGGGGTCCAGAAACTCCTGGTAAGGTGGCTAATTCAGCCCCTGGTACGGTGGCTAACTCACTCATTCCTGGCATTAGCACTAAAAGTGCAGGGTCCTGGAAATCCCCTCAGCGCACGCGAACGGAGACAGTTGGCCGCCATCCCTGGCTCCTGTGACCCTCTGAATGTCTGATTCATTCCTCTCCCCCTGCTGACCCGTTTCCTCCATTTTCTCTGTCCATATGGTTAGAACCACAGTCAAGGACAGGTTCTAATCTCTAATTTTGTTATGGCATGGGCAATTTCGTGTTTTATTGCCCGATATAACTATAGTGTAGAATAATCCCATTTTTAAAAGTCTCATATTTCACTGTTGGGAAATCATCAAAGTTATAAGCCTGATGTCTGTATTTTTGTAAAAGAAGTCTAGTTTAGGAACCATTACAGGGAATGAGTTCAGCAAACTCATCAGATCACTTATTTTCCAATGGAACCACTTAAACATACCCCGTTATCTCTGAGAAATCATGAGATGCAGGGAGGGGCCTTGTTTTTAAGGTATTTTGGGTATTGTCTGCTACCTGGCTTAACAGGAAGTTCTATGAGAGACTCAGGAACTATATGACTCCATGTGGCTATTTTGCTTACTGTGTTAACCTCAGCGCTCAAAACCTGCTGGCCAGGTGGATGAACAAACAAGGTAAATGAAAATGAAAACATGAGAAAGCTAAATGTTGAAATGTGTGCTACATTCTCTGTAGGTCCGAAACAGAGAAGGAAGGGAAGTGTGAGGTGTACTGTTCCAGGTGAAGACTCACAGGCCGTCGAAAACAGCTATAGCATGGGAAGGGGAGGCTCAGTTTTCGTCTTCCTCACTCAGTTTCGACTCATTGTACTATAAGGCAGAGCATAAAGCCCAGTGTATGCAGATAAGGGAATTGGCGTTCACCAGAAGGTAGTCCACTAGCATACCCCGCCCCTGTGTTTTGGAATTCACACTCCACAAGGATATGGAACAATGGCAAGGGAGTCACGGCTGGGCCTGCTAGGCCTGTTCTCTTCTTGACCACCTCCAAGTTTCTTCTATTTGAATGTGTTCTTTTGAAAAAAAAAAATGTAGATTTTATGAATGTTTTCCCCATTATGTGATTAAACTTAATGAAAAACAACAGGTCGGGCACCATGGCTCACGCCTGTAATCCCAGCACTTTGGGAGGCCGAGGCGGGCGAATCATCTGAGGTCAGGAGATGGACACCATCCTGGCTAACATGGTGAAACCCGTCTCTACTAAAAATACAAAAAACACTAGCCGGGCGTGGTAGTGGTAGCGGGCGCCTGTAGTCCCACTACTTGGAAGGCTGAGGCAGGAGAATGGCATGAACCCGGGAGGCGGAACTTGCAGTGAGCCGAGATGGCGCTACTGAACTCAGCCTGGGCGACAGAGCAAGACTCCATCTCAAAAAAAAAAAAAAAAAAAAACAAAAAGAAAAACAACAACAACAACAACCAGGCTGAACCTCGTTTTCATTTGCTCTCCGAACTCTGCCTATTTCCTCACGGCTTCTCCTTCTTTAGCCACCCGTCTCTACCTCGTCTTGCACACAGATTTCTACCCGATCCTTCCACTCTGGCAGTCAGCAATGGGCCTTAATTGACACATCATTAAAAAATACTCAGGCACCATCTGAACTGGAATAAGAATAAATTCCAGACAAAGGGCTCAAGCCAGCCTTCCAGATTTCAGTGTCAGAGAGCCCTCTCAGAGGAGGCAGTCATTTTTTCTGTCGTCTTTCTCCAGCATTGTAGCGATTCTAAACAAGCCAAATTGGAATAAACGCTCCATGACACTACTCACCACCTTGTGTTTTCGTAGGGGCCGCTGCCTAACAGTTTAGGCTGAAGTATTTAACACTAGCCCATTTGCTCTGACAGCTCTTTTATTATAGATGACCACCCCAGGCCTTGGGAGGTTCACTTTGTCCAATATTGGTTTCATTTGGGTATGATCATTTTGTTCGGAGTTGTTTACTGAGCAGACTGCTGCTAACCTCCTCCTATCATTGATTGCCTACCAGGAGAAGCAGACCAGCTCAGTTTCCTGGTTCCAAGAAAGAGAATTCAGCAAGATGAGGGTCAAATTACCCCAAACTCCAGATCATCTCTATCAACAATTTCATATGTGTCCAGGAAAGAGAAGCTTTATTGTTTGTCTTGCTCTGTTTTCTGAAGCTAAGAAGACAATTGCTTCCTCGCAAACATGGACAGATTAAATATGCTACATTCTGTCCTTTTCACCATCTGCTTCTTGCTTATTTTATTTTAAGCTGCATGACTAAACTTTATTATCTGACGGGTGAAGGTGGGCCTTGCTGCTGCTGTGCTCTACTCCTTGAGGCTTGGAATGAATGCAAAGTTGCAGGACTGATCTGCAAAAGGGTGAGTCAGAAATCAATCGGCCACTGTGCAATTATCACTCGCTGTGTCAAATACCGAGACATTAGCATTCTAAGATTCCTCTTGGCAAGATTCACAGCAGGGGGAACGGAGTGATGGAAGGGGAACAACAACAACAAAAACCTAGTTTTGTTTGATTCCTCTAAATATCTATATTTGCATAATATCCCTTCTCTTTGTGCTTCCCTATAAGTGCTGTAAGGAAGATTCTGTTCCCAAGCTCTGTCTCTTAAACTTCTCCTGAACCTCTTGGGGTTTCTAGTCTCCCTACTAACTACCTTTCTTATTTCCCAAAATATGTTAAAGCATTCTATCACCTCTAGCACCACAAGCCTGCAGAATCCTCCTTGGAAACTCCTGACAATTCATTTCGAGCCCCATTCATTGTGATTTCTTCCACATTTAATCTGATTTCTAGGACAGGAGCCAAAGTAAGGCAAGATAGTCACTCACCTTGAGTAATCGGGTATAAAATTTAAGAGAGCATCAAAATCTAGTAGCTTAGATTAATATTTCAATGCCATATATTTTAACGTTTTTTAAAATTAAACTTTTATTTTGAGATAATTATTTCATGTGCAGTTGTAAGAAATGATACAGAAAAATTTCCCCACCACTATCCTTTACCCAGTTTCCCCCAGTGGTATGATCCTGAAAAACTCAAGTATCACAACCAGGATATTGACATTGATACAGTCAAGATGCAGAACATTTTCATCACTCAGGTGTTCCTCACATTGCCCTTGTAGTCACACCCCTTTCCTCCCACTCCCACTATTCTTAGCCCTAGACCATTACTAATTTGTTTCTCATTTCTACAATTGTATCCTGTTGAGAATGTTATCTAAATAGAGTCATACAGTATATAACCTTTAGGATATTTTGGTTGTTTCACTCAGCATAATTCTCTGGAGATTCATCCAGGTTGTCATGTGTATCAGTGGTTTGTTCCTTTTGGTTGCTGAATAGTGTTCCATGGTACGGATGTGCCATAGTTTGCTTGTCCGTTCGTTCACTCACTGAAGGGCATCTGGATTGTTCCAGTTTAGGGCTATTTACCCATAAAGTGAATATAGTTTTATTTATCTGAGATAAATGCCCAGGAGGGCAATTGTTGGGTCATATGGTTGTTGCATGTTTTCAAGAAACTGCCAGACTTATTTTCCAAAGTGTACCATTTTACATTTTACATTTCCACCAGCGATATTCGAGTGATCCAGTTTCACCATCTTCACCGGCATTTGGCTTTGTCATTATGTTTTTATTTTAGCCATCCTGATAGGTGTGTAATGATATTTTATCGTGATTTTAATTTGCATTTTCCTAATGGCTAATGATGTTTAACATATTTTCATAAGCTTACTTGCCATCTGTGTGTCCTCTTCAAAAAAAAAGAGTCTCTTTATATCTTTTGCCCATTTCTAATTGGATTATTTGTTTGTTTACTAGCAAGTTTTTAGAGTTTTTTTATATATTCTAGATACTTGTCTTTTGTTGAGTTTGTGTTTTGCAAATGTACATATGGGTATGTGTTCACATGTATGTGTTGACCAATTGTTTTTTACAATTTTAAAAATATCTTTATATAACTATAAGGGAAGGGTGAAATGCAAAATATCTAAAACTTATGGCATGGAAATCAACCACCAATCATAATGGATGCTGGCGTTGAACGACAGGTAGGCCTGTTGTTACATGAATCAGCACAAAATCTCCCTTACCACTAGAATACATGTAATCCAGATATAATTCTAAAATATGTTTTTTGCTTTTACATTATGCACATAGAAACTTCAGAGTTACCTGCTGAAATTTTTGTCTAAATATTCATCAATGTCATTTATAACCAGTTAGCAGGTATTTGTTGCTGGCTATGTTCAAGATGCTCACATACATGTAATTAATTAAGTAAATCATTTCTATACATTGACAGGCATTTCTGAAGGACAGAAAAATGTGAGAAAATCATTTATATTTGCTTCAAAATTAGTATACTTTATTGTAATAATAATTATTTTTATATAATTTGGAAATGTGAGGTATTATTTCCTTATGTCAATATGGATCCCAATGGACAAACTTACTAGGTGACTTAAATAAATCATCTTAGCAATCCTGAGAAGTATTAGCATTCCCTTTTTTTCCAGATGGAAAAACTGATTACCTTGAAAATGGCGGAGCCTAAACCAACAGCCATGTTGCTGTTATTGTTTTTACTGTAGATCCTGTCCCATTCATCATGTGTGTAAAGAAGCTCTTTGAAAATGACAAAACTTTATATGAATTGCAGATAATTTTATTTCTATTAAAAATGAAATATTCTTCTGATGAAAATGAGGAAAGTGGTTGATGGACTACATCTTTGAATAGATCCTCAATTGTAAAAAACGAGTAATCAATTGATTGATAGTTGGTTTTACCTTATTTTTCTTTAATGTCCAAATTCTCTTTAGGCTCCAGGCAGAGCTACAGACTTCACTTTTTTCATGTTGGAGTTTTAAGTTTTTTTCTAAAGAGTAGTTTCCCTAAACCAACCAGTCTATTGATTTGTTAGTTTTGTAGAACAGCAAATCTCTTGCTCCATAGGGCAATTTATTAGTCTAATAATAATTAGAATATATATTTAAGATATTAGTCTGACATCTAATGTTAGCATTCCCTTTTTTCCAGATGCAAACGTGATTACTTGGAAACAGTCTAATTATTAGTAGTCTATATCATTAAGATATTAGTCTAATATTATCAGTATTACTGAGTTCAAAAGTCGAATCTCATGTTCTCTGTGAGAATTTGGATAAAGGGCAGGACTTCCATTTTAATTGTATTTGAAAAATGAAACCAGGCATGCAATTGGTGCTCTGGAAAAGTCTGTTTGCCCCCCACTAGCTGAACATTTTTCTATAATAATCTTAAGGCTATCTACGTTATTTTATTTTTTAAAAGTCTCAGGACTCCTATTTTGATAAATTAGAAAACTCCCTACCATTAGGAGACGTTGACTTGTCGAAGACGGATGGAAAGCCGAGAGCCTGCCCACCGCCGGACCACCAGCCAGCACCAAGGGAACACGAAAGACGAAGTCCTCCTCTCAGCCAAGGCCCAGAAGCCCTAAGAAGTGTCCCAAAATAGCGAAGAAAGGAAAAGCAACTCGTCGAGGGAGAGCCAGGAAGAAAAGTGCTCCAAAAAAGACCTCGACTGTAAGAACACCTGAGGAAGGGAGCGGGCCAGCGCCATCAGGCCCCATTGGCCCGCTGAACCAGGAGCTCCCTCAGCATGAACTGCGGCGGGAGCCACTGAGTGCGGGGACGCAGCCAGAGGAAACACTGAGTGAGGGCAACCAGCCGGAATTGAGGGGGCCTAGCCCGACCCACTGAGTGAGGGGACGCAGGCGAAGGAACAGAGTGAGGGGACACAGCCGGACCCACTGAGTGAGGGAACGCAGGCGGAGGAACAGAGTGAGGGGACACAGCCGGACCCACTGAGTGAGGGGACGCAGGCGGAGGAACAGAGTGAGGGGACACAGCCGGACCCACTGAGTGAGGGGACTGCAACCGTCTCCACTCTCTTCCTGAGCAACGAGTAACTTCAGACCCAGCCCCGAGACCTAGGAGCCATCGGAGGTCTGACCCAGAGAACTCGCCAACAGGGTGCACCCCGTGATGAAAATAAAATGAATCTGTTAAAGAGAGAGAGAGAAAAAAAACTCCGTCACCACTTTTTTTCCCCAAGTCCCCACCACTTCTGACACTATCTTTTTCTCTAACGTTCTGCTGTTGTGGTCCCTGGTGCATGCCTGTTTCACAAAACGCCAAGAGTAGTTCAATGGATATCATTGGGGGGGAAAAAAAAGAAAGAAAATAAAGAAGCCAGAAAGTTTACCATTTCTCAATGTTTACTAAGGTGACATCCTAATAATACACTTTTTAAGGCAAAGCATGGGGAAGAACCACATGGGTCAGCTAGGAAAACTTGCCAAATGATTCAATTAAGTTGGAAATATTCATTTAGTTGAGTGGACATCTGTCAACCTTAATCTGGTTCAGTGCAATGCTAATTCTATATTGACTTCAATTTTATGAATTTGTTGTTGGTATAAGACTATAGGCTTACTAATATTCTCATAAATGTGGCACATTACCAGGATATTCCTCTTTCAACTGTTTTAGTGATTAATGGAAAGAAGTTGTTTAGAGGGAACATAAATTTTATTCATATAAAATTAGCAACAGGAACCATTTGCACAAATGAGCTAAAAAGTAAAAAGTGTACAGAGGAATTAAAAAGAGCAAAAAGATTTGGGAGGTCCAGGAGGGTGGATCACCTGAGGTCAGGAGTTTGAGACTAGCCTGGCCAACATGGTGAAACCCCATCTCTACTAAAAATACAAAAAAATTAGCTGGGTGTGATGGCAGGCACCTGTAATCCCAGCTACTCAGGAGGCTGAGGCATGAGAATCGTTTGAACCCAGGAGGCCAAGGTTGCAGTGAGCCGAGATTGTGCCACTGTACTCCAGCTTGGGTGACAGAATGAGACTCTGTCTCAAAAAAAAAAAAAAAAAAAAAAAAGCGGGGGGCGCAAAAAGAGAAGGCCAGAGACTGGCTGGCATCCATAAGCAGAGAATAGAAGAGAGTCAAACAGGTAAATACATAGAGTATACTAAGAAAAGAATGGGTGCATGATGAACATAGGGTCAAAAAAGTTTTCAGATGGATACAGAAAGAAATAACAGCTTTCAAATTTAACCTGGAGAAAGTTATTGGTGATTCTAGGGAGCACACTTGTGTTTGTTAGTCAAGAGACCTAGGGCATTGCAGGTAGGATGGAGGAAATAGAGGCAGCTGGTAGAGCTGTAGCAAGTAATCAGTTATCTGCATTTGGAGGTGTCTATTAAGAGGAAAGTTCCCAGGGGACACATGGTAGGACATGAACCATTCTATCCTCATATGCTTCCAGGGATATGGCCAATGTCCCTTCCTCCTCTGAGCTCCTGTAGTTTACCCATCTGTGACCCTCATTTGGCACTTAGGACCTGCTGGCTTATATTGTTCTTTATTTCTTTAGGAGCTGGTCTATTTCCAAAACAGCCTGTGAGCTTTTTAACAATTGCTTTATATTGTCTGCCACAATGCCTTGCACGTAATGTTAGTGATCGCAATAGTTGTAGAGGTGGCAGTAGTAAAAGTAGTAATAGAAAGAGCTGTTACTATGACTGTGTCAAGCACTTTATGTATCTTATTTCATTTAATCCTCTTCCTAGGGTAGCTAATATTATTATCTGTCATTATCTCCAATGTAAAAGCGAGGACACTGAGGCTCAGAGAAGTTCAATAACTTGGTTCTACTCAGCTTGTAGATGGCAGAGTTGGGATTCAGATTCAGAGGTTTCAGATCTCAGTTGCCAAAGTTTGACAAGGAAGATTTGGTACACGCTATCTCATTCCTTTTTTTTTTTTCACTAACATAAAATTTTAAACAGTAAGGTTTTATCAGATACTCAGTGCAATAAGTTGTTTTATGTCTCTCACTGGAATTTTCAATTATCTTGGCTTTTATGATTTGTCACCAGAAGTAAAATGGTTTATGTCTGGGAGAACCCTGCGGCCATGATGGCTCTGGTGAATGTGGGAGCCTGAAAAGCACTGGATCTCTGGCCAGAAAGATAGAAAAAATAGTACAGGAAACATTGTCAAATAAGCCACCCACAGAAACAATGGCCAGGCAAAGGCCAGACAGCACTGCCAGGTGAAATATAAGTACCTGGCTAATTTGAATTTCAGATAAACAAGTTTTTCCATATAAGTATGTCCCAAATGTTGCATGGAATATACTTATATTAAAACAGCATTCATTTAAAAATCTGAAATCCAAATTTAACTGGGAATCCTGCATTTTTACTTACTGAATCTGGCAACCCCAAGGCCAGAACACATTCTTCCATTTTTTGATATACTGAGGAAGTACAGGTCTCAGCCATAAACCACCAAGGGAGAAAGGAACATTTCTGTCATTCTTCTGCAGATCAGTCCTGCTGCTTAAAATAAACCTGACCAACTTTAAAGAATTAAAAGTTTTGTTTGGTTTTAAGTCTGAATCATATTCATTCAAAATGCAGAAAATCGTTTAACTAAAAAATGCTCTGCTCTTAAGTTCTTTGCACTTCTCTCTCTTTCCTTCTCTCTCTCTCTCTCACACACACACACACACACACACACACACACACATATACATGAACTTAGAAAACAATGATTTGAACCCCCTTCTTCTTGCAATAACTGATTACTTTAACTTCATGGATTCTGCAAGGCAAACACAGAAACTGGAGTTCTAGTTTCCTATATTCGTTCAAATTCCCCAAAATCATTCTCTATTTTACCTCAGGTATTAGTTCTGTGGGTTTTGAACTGAAAAAGAACTTTGTATGAATGCTTATAGGAGATAGGAGTGGATGATCTCAGTCTGTTCATTCGTGGGTCAATAAAAATTCTGTCTTTACTGAATTAGTCAGATAATCATATTTCTGATGCTCCATCTGATCAAATTTGTGCTGAAATTTAAAAGAAAGTGTTAGTCCTTGACCTAGCCTAGCTGATTGTAGCCAGCACCCAGGCACCAAGTACCCTGGCAAGATCTGGGGATCTCTGATACTTCTTTCAAATGGAGTTGGATAACTGCTTGATTTCCAGGGGCTGCAGTTTCCACAGAAGGTAAACTTGGACTCACTTTCCTTTCTTCTCTCTTCTTGCCCCTCACCTCCTATTTTCCCCCACCAGCCTACTTTACTCTCAACATTCAGTGCCCTGGACAAGGACTGATATGGTTTGTCTGTGTCCTCTGCCAAATCTCATCTTGAATTATAATCCCCATAATCCCCACGTGTCATGGGAGGGACCTAGTGAGAGGTAATTGAATCATGGGGGTGGTTTCCCCCATGCTGTTCTTGTGATAGTGAGTGAGTTCTCATGAGATCTGATGGTTTTGGTTTTATAAGTGTCTGCATTTCCTGGTGCTCATTCTCTCTACTGCCGCCTTGTGAAGAGGTGCCTTCTGCATGATTGTAAGTTTCCTGAGGCCTCCCTGGCCATGCAGAACGGTGAGTCAATTAAACCTCTTTTCTTTGTAAATTACCCAGGCTCAAATATTTCTTCATAGCAGTGTAAGAACAGACTAATACAGGGACGTTGCAATTTCATTCCAAGAGTCATAGGGACAAGTTCTTCTCATAATGGGAAAGACATTCTAGACCAAATGCTTCTATCATAGAAACATTTAGAGGCACAAGGAAGCAGACACTGGTAATCCATATTTCTTTAATTTGCCAGAAAGTGTCTTCCTTTCCTTCTGTTTCTTAAAATTTAAGAGTAAATTATTCATTTAATACCTGAAAGGTGACTAACTACGTGTTGCTAACATTACCGAGGGCATGGTTTCATTACAAAGTTCTCCATTTTGTCAATCTATATTTCTCATGATGAGTTATTTTCCTAATCATAATGTGAGTCCTCTGAACTTCTTTATCTGTTATCAGTCCACACAAATCCCACTGAAAATAAAGTGATTCTCATCTGATGAAACCAGGTTCTAGAAGGAACACTCTTAAGACAGCAGCCAAATCTCTTTGGGAATGGATGGCTCTACTATATCTACAGTATCACCAAAAGATGTGAAATACATTGTCATTTCTATTGGCTATTTATTTTAAAGGAAAAAAATGTAAGAAACAACAAAACGGAAATGGCCAGAAATCCTTAAAACTCTGAAAACAAATACCTAACTAAGTAGGAAAATAATATTGACTGAATTTCAGAAAAGACTATCCAATTGCTTGTGATGAATGACAATGATTCTAAATATGGATGTATGTGAATATAACATTTGCTTTTAAGATGTTTTTGTCCTCACTCAATTTTATTGTTTCAAAATGAAGTTTTGCTGCTATCTAGGTTATAAGGTTGACAAAATGATTTATTTTGAAATGAGCCAAGTTTTTACTTTGAAAAAATAGTAATGTGCAGAGATTACTTTGTTAGTATTTCAATTTTCTGATTGCCAACCGTCAATTTAAATGTTTCCCTGGAGTTCTTTGCAGTACTGAAAATTTAAAGACAAATCAAAGAGTCGGGATAGTTAGTGCCAAGGCCCATGTGTCTCACAGTAGCTTCATCTCTAACGTGGTTAAAATAGTCAAGATTCCAGGAATTTCACAGGAATATGTGAGCAATATTAGGAATGTCATGGATTCTGAGCATGAAATTTGTCTTCAATATACATGTCTTTTTTATCATATATTGAATAAATTTGGTATTATTTTCTCTTACAAATTAGCTGTAACTTACGTTTCACTCTACATTCCTGAGAAGGAAAAAAGCATGGTGTGGGACATTATATGACCCTTGGGTATTCCGTAGGGAGAAGACTTACTCTCTAATGTCCAGCAGCTGATTTCTCAGCTTGTGGATGATTTTGGACTGCTTTTCTGCAACAGCATCTGTTTTGAGATTATAAAATTCTCGTTAACATTTTCACTAGAACAAATAAGGAAAGGTGCCAAAATGGAATAAAATAGTGAATTCTTCTTTCTTTTAAAGAACAAATAATTGGGTACAGTAATGACTGTAAAATGATATTATTAAATTGTGTGAATTTTTAATTGATTTTTTTATTTGAAAAACCACAACTGAACAACTAGTATGAAGGAACGATGCTAGGTGCAGTGAAGAATATAATGGTGAAAATGGATACAAAAATGAAACAAAAAAATGGCCTCATAGTCTTGATGTAACCTGCTCACACTCAAAGATAATTGGGAGTCAACACTTTTGGCCTTACATGATGAGCACTTTCATGAGCTCTGTGTATCTGTAAGTGGGTGTGTATATTATGTGTGCATTTGAGTGTGTATCTAAAAGTGTTTATGTGTTGTGCTTATGTTCAACCTGGGCCTCAAATCA